TAAAATATGTTAGTTCTATAATGCTCTGGCCACTGACAAATGGTCCTTTCATTCTGGCCAATAATAAAAGTCAGTTATTAATAATAATGCACTCAGGCCCTGGCCAGTTTGGCTCAGCAGTTAGAGCGTCGGCCTGCGGTCCAGGGAGACCTAGGTTCGGTTCCCACTAAGAACACGTACCTCAGTTGCAGTTTGTCCCCGGCCCTGGTAGGGTCGTGCGGGTACAACCACTTGATGTCTCTCTCTCAAATCGATGTTTCTCTCTCTCCCTCCCTCCCACTCTATCTGAACAAAATATCAAAAAATGTCCTCGGGTGAGGATTTAAAAATAAACAAACAAACAAACAAACAAACAAATAAATAAAAAATGCACTCTGCCTACCAACATGAAATTTGATCAGGGACTTAACCAGTCATTGCAGAACATTTCAAAGTTCTGTTCCCATTAGCCCAAGAAATTAGCTTCTACTGCAAAGACCCCAGACTCCCATTTTTTAAGTTTTAATCACAAAATAGGCCCCATGATGGAAAGAAAGCAAAGTAATATTGTTTTTATCATCTGTTGTTTTTGTTTGTTTGTTTGCCTGTGAAGAACTGGCACTGGGTAGGAAAGGTCTGTCTCCTCCCGTCACCGATACTGCTGAGCTCCTGACAGCACGGCCCGTAACTCTTTGGGGGCAGGAGGTGGGGCAAAAAAAAAAACAAAACAACAGGATGAAGGGTTCTGGCTGTAAAAAATGTAAACATCTGTGACTTTAGAGATTAAATTATAATTTAGTATTTCAGGCTTTGACAAACAGAATTTCTCCATGTAGCCTAAATACCAGCAATCAAGACTGGCAGGTAAGAGATAATAGTAAGATAACTAGTATAAATATTAAACACTATAATGAATTTCTCCCACTTCAACCCACAGAAGAACTACATCATGCCATTGGGAAAGGGGGGACCACCGACTGCCATTTATGTTTAACTTATTTTTAACAAACCCAGAATGTTTTTTCAGTGAATTTAACAGTGGACAAGTGCTACGAACAGAGATCTGTATTCCCACCCAGTTCTCTATGGGATTAACACTGTTTCTTTTTCTTGCCTTAAAACACCATAGCTGTAGATTTATAATAAATATTTTTTTCTCTCCAATTTCTAACATAAGTACTTACAAGTACCAAATATAAAATACAAAGCTTGCCCTGGCCAGTGGACCCGGTCATGGGATCGATTCTGGTCAAGGGCATGTACCTTGGTTGCAGGTTCCATCCCTGGTCCCAGGTGGGGTCGTGCGGGAGGCAAGCAATTGATGTGTCTCTCTCACGTCGATGTTTCTCTCTCTCTCTCTCTCTCTCTCTGCTCCCCACCTTTCCTTCCTTCCACTCTATCTAAAAATTAAAAGAAAAAATATCCTCAGGAGAAGATTAACAAATATATAATAATAAAAATAAAATATAAAACTTGACTCCCCCTCACAATGGTAGACTGAACTGTGTAACAAATATGTAAAAGTATTTAAACAAAACTATTTTATCCAGCCATGCAACTTCCCTGTGATTCTTTTTTTTTTTTTTTTTTTATCCTCACCCGAGGATATTTTCCATTTTTTGTACAGATAGAGTGGGAGGGAGAGAGAGGAAGGGAGAGAGAGAGAGAAACATCGACGTGAAGGGACACATCGAGTGGCTGCCACCCGCACGACCAACCAGGGCCGGGGACAAACTGCAACCGAAGTACGTGCCCTTAGCGGGAACCGAACCCGGGTCTCTCCGGACCGCAGGCCGACGCTCTAACCACTGAGCCAAACTGGCCAGGGCTCCCTGTGATTCTTAAGACAACTATACTCATACAAAGAAAAAAAGAAAAATTCTGGTTATATAATTCCTTAACCTCTAAGAGCAGGCCCGAACCAAAGAACAAGTGTGAATGCCTTTGAGTGGGCAGTATCCAGTCTGCTCCTCTCTTCAGTTCACTCATGCATCACTCCCCTGCCCGCCGAGTCTACCAATGCATACCAAGGCTTCCCTTTGGACCTCCAGCCATACCTGATATGGCACCAGCTAGGTACGAGTCACAGGACAAAGGGCCATCACGTAATCCTTCAGCAGTATTACTCTAAGAATATTTACCCTTAGCATTTAGTCCTTGGATCGATTGCTATCAATTTTATTTGAGAAACAAGTTTCAGAGAACACATTTTCCAACAATGTAGTTATCAATGATCCAAACCAGAAACAAGGATACCTTATTTTAGAAAATTTGGCCACAAAAGTAGGAAGCTATGTAAACTAGAACAGGCTTAGAATATTTTTAAGGTAGTAAGGATCACGGCCAGAAACAATGAAATAACAAAATGAACGAAGGCCACCTATCTCGATTTCCTCACACATCTCATTCTTAGTATTTCACAAGAAAAACCAAATCTTACAAGGTGAAAGAAATGTAAACACAAATGTGTACATTTCTTCAAGTTGGTAAGATTTAAATATTTGCAGACTTAAGAATGCAGAAAGAAATACTTATGAAAGAAATGTCAAAACTATTGAAGTTCAACATTCTCAACTATTCCTACCCCTACCATGCCAGGCGGTCCCCTAATCTCCAACATCCTACTTTCTTTCATCCCTATGGACACCCTCTGCCTTAATCCCAAACCCTTACCACTAACCTGCCTCTCCAATCGGAGCGCACCCAGGAAGTTGGGCTTCTCACCAAATGTGCTCCCACCATAAGGTGCCCCTGAACATACAGAGCCCATTAATGTCTCTGCACCCCGGGAACTTCACCAGGTTCCTTCTTTGCAACCACCTGCCAGTAATAGGAGAACAACTAAACTACAACAACCTCACAAACTAGGAAAGAACATTTGGTCATAAAAGTCTATTCTGGGCAAGGCTGCATTTCGTACAGAGAATACAAACACCACAGCAACAAGGTCACAGGACAGAAGTGAGCCAAAGAGCTTACCTATGGCTCATGTCATTTTTACTAAAGCCACGAGCCAACTGTGAATTAGTATATACGTGGCAAAATCATTTATCTGAACCTTTGTGCACATGGTAGTCAAATTACCAAATTTGAGAGTCAAAATTACCAAAATAAATAGAGATTCACCAAATTTGGTTTCACCTCTGAATATATAATTCTTATAAAAAAACAAGTTATAATTTTCCCATCCCATATATGTGTGTCTATTTGCAAATGACAATGTTCTAAGTTACAATTGATTGATTAAGTTGCTAATGGTTGCTTAAAAACCTTAAAGGGAATAAACTCTTAAAATCTAAATATAACACTAAAAATCAAGTTATGAATATAAGTTTACTACACAAATCACTGTGTTTTATAGAAAAAAAAACACATTTAATTTTAATAGTTGACATTTCCTGACAAACCAGATAGCTGATTTAAAGCCAAAAGAATCAATAATATATAGATGAGAAGTAGTATTTCTGAAAATTAGGTAAAATTAAAAAGCTTCACTACTTAGAAGCCATCATTTAAAGTAAAGTAATAAAAAGGAGTAATAAACCATTTATAGGCAAGTAAATAAGCATCATTCTGACATGCTAAATTCCATATGATTTTATCTATTTTGTATGCTGAGGAGTATAGTCTTCTGAAATTTATTATGTTTCTATAAACTCAAATTTAGCTATTTTAGAATTACATAGAACATCTCATTAAACTTAAGACAGGAGAAGAATTTCATAGATAGTGAGCTTCCACTGTTAAGTAGATAACAGAATTCTCACTGAGCAATAATAAAATGTAAACTAAAATTAAGAGGCTACATTACATTTAATCACAACTAAACTCTTTTTTCATATTTAGAACTTACTCTTTTATAGGAAGGCTAAGATTAATCTACTGAAAACAGTTTCATTAGTTACAGATGTAGAAGCTTCCCATTTTTTTTTCATGTCCATAAAATACACACAAAATTGTGTGTCTAGGAAGAATTTCCTTGTTTTATTTTATTATTTTATTAAGTTTAGTGTAGTGTATTAATACCATGTCATATGCATTATTACTCTAAAGACTTTAGTACACAAAGTTTTAATACATATTATGAAAATGATGCTGTTTAACAAGCAGAGAAATACATATATCTCCCAGGCCAGATAATAGAATATTTGCATATTAAAACCAGTAACATTCTTTCTAGTAAAACAGCATTTTAAAACAAATAAGGGGCCCTGGCTGGTTTGGCTCAGCGGTTAGAGTGTCAGCCTGTGGACCAGAGAGGCCCGGGTTCAGTTCCTGCTAAGGGCACGTACCTCGGTTACAGTTTGTCCCCGGCCCCGATTAGGGTTGTGTGGGTGGCAACCACTCGATGTTTCTCTCTCTCTCTTCCTCCCTCTCTCCCTCTCGCTCTATCTCAAGATAAATGAAAAAAAAAAAGGGGAATATCATATATTTATTAGATGAAACATGTCAATGATAAAGACAGGTAATTCTAGTGATAGAACGAGAAGGGCTCAAGATTTCCAAAATAAAGAAACCTGGCCAACTACTAGTACCTTTCAAACATGCACTGCACATTTTAAGATGTTTACTACCACTTATTTATTTTGAAATGAATTTCTGTAATCTTTTAAAAGTGTGCATTTTTCAAATGGAAGTGCATTATGTCGAGTGATGCTAAAAATTCTGTTATTACCATATTTGAAAACAGACTAACATTATATTTTCAAATGTTAAGTTCAGAATACAAAGTGCTTAAAATCTGAAAAAAAAAAATCGTTATTATACTTGTTAAAAGGATATATGTGTAAGAACTATATGCTATCCATTTATAAAAGTAAATTGAAATGGGAGTCCATGAAAAAGTAATTAAGCCATTTAACATTTCAACAAGAATAAAATATATGATTTAAGCAGGAAAATATCTTCCATAAATGTACACAGTATATCATATATATATATATAGATATCATCAAGGCAAAAATATTCTTTTGTTTCCAGCACTTTACCACACCAACAAAAAAAGTGAAATGTCTACTTACCTAATAAAACTTTGGCATCATCCACATCGAAATCTCCATCACCATCTGCATCATAGACTCCTAGTTTTCCTACAAGACGGGAGGGAAAGACGGACATGGGACAAAAGGAAAAAGAAACTTAATAAGGTCTATTGCAGTCAGGCACGTCAGTCATAAATGTTACCAATCGATGTAATTCTTGCTCTTTTAATCCTGAAGAGCAGTGCTAAACCTAACAATGGTGAAATGGTGGGCAATTCACTTAGAGATCCAGGAAATGTTTTTCTAAAATCGAAGAAATAGATCAGATATTTTCCTTAAAGGTTTAACAATATCCTGATTTAATCATTTCATATTGCTTTCAAAACTATATTGCCACAAATATTTTAGGTAAAATTTTCAACATATACAATGAATAATATTGATCAATTTCTAACAATCACATGAAATTTAATGTTCCCAAAGTATAAAGTTCTACTATCAATACTCAAAACAAAATGATAAAACACCAAGCCTCAAATACAGATTAAATATAATTCAAATTGAGTACAAGCACTAAAAATAAGAGAACAATTAATTTTATATAATGATTTATAACAGAAATATCATGAATTAATCTTAAAACAAAGACTTGTGAAAATAAAGTATGGAAAACTGACTTCCTGAAATCACAAGGGAAAACTTACCATTATCTTACTTTAAAACTTTGCCCTGGCCAGTTTGCCTCAGGAGTGAGAGCATCGGCCCTTGGGATGAAGGGCTGCAGGTTTGATTCTGGTCAAGGGCACATACCTGGGTTGCAGGTTCAATCCCCATCCCCAGTCGGGGTTGTGTGGGAGGCAACCAATCGCTGTGTCTCTTTCACATCAGTGTTTCTCTCTCTCCCCTCCCTTCCTCCCTCCCACTCTGTAAAAAAAATCAATGGAAAAATATCCTCGAATGAGGATTAACAAAATAAATAAGTAAATAATAAAAAATTTTAGAAATACTGAAATCAACAGGAGTGATAATTCACCACTGGACAATGGCTGTGAAGAGACATCATAATGCACAGCAATATTTTAAACAACATTCACAAACACAGCATAAGCACTAAAAAAAACTGTTGCCATTTCTTTAATAAAAACTAAATTAAAACACTGCATAAGAGCAGGCAGAACTTTTGGGGTCTAGTAGCTAAGGACAATCTTCACCCTCCCAGAGCCCTTGTTCTACTTAGGAAAACAGTAAACCTGCTACGTGGAAGTCTGGTTTAGGAAGCACACACACATTAAAAATGACAAGAATAACACAGGAGAGTTCTTATTTCTGTTGCTAGGAAAACAAAAAAGCAGTGATCTGCAGGTCGAGGCTATATATAGCACAGAGCTCAAACATTACAAATATGGAAAACATGATCATTTCTGGCAAACTTAAAAAGGGAAAGTGGTCCTACCCCTTACATTCTCTGATGCAGGTGATAACTGAATTAATAGAATAACTGAATTAATAGAATAATGAGATTTTAGAAACTAACACAAGTGGACTTAAAATGCATCTCCAACCGCCTACCTTGAAGTACCTCTGATAAGTTATAACGGAAGTCCTTTGCTTTGGCTGCATGCATATAAAAACACAAAAGTTGTTACTTGTGCTCAAATGTACAAATATCTAAAATCTCTTCTTTTGTGACAAACATCCCCTAGCAACATATAAGTCAGCAAAAGCAGAGATTACATAGAAGTTTTTCTGTACACTAAAATACTTCCTCTGTTAGTCCATAAATTTATCCAGAGACACTTACAGTAACAAAATTGAGAAACTCCCATGAAAGGCAGATTACATGTTAAGTGTTTCATTATTCTTCGCCTGTTATCCCCCAGAATAATGGCTATAACCTAATAAGTAAAGCAGTACAAGAGGGTCTGTGGGAGGGAGGGGATTTTCCATGCAACACTGTACATATAGAGAAGTGTGCATTTTGTTCAGTGATGGTCTACATAGATCTTGAGTGTTTAAGGACAAAGGCCATTTATTTTCAATAGCCAAGAAGTGGAAACAACCTTACTGTCCATCACTGATGAACAGAAAAGTAAAATGTGCTATGTCCATACAATGGAATATTATTTAGCCATAAAACAAGGATCAAACTTGAACACATTATGCTAAGTGCACAAGGCAGACACAAAGGCCACACACTGTATGATCCCATTTATATGAAATGTCCAGAACAGGCAAATCGACAGATACAGATGGTGTGCTGGTGTTTGCCGGGAGAGGGAAGGAGCAGGGAATTGGGGGTTTTGGGGGGAATGTGTGATGAAAATATTCTAGAATTAGATAATGATGATAGCACAAAATGATCAATATATTAAAAATCAGTGAACTGATGATTTTCAAATATTCATGATATTGATTTTTGTTTTGTGAATTTCATATGAAATTAAAAAAATAAAATGAGTATGATCTATTAATGGATCCTTAAATAAATCAGTGGCTCATACCAGTATTTTAAAAATTCATAATATAACAAAATATAATAGAAATGACAAAATACTGCTTATAGTGAGAGTAAGTATTGTTTGATAAAACTTTTCTGTGTAATATATGTGCAATATAAAGCCTTTTTTTTTTTTTTACTATAGATCATTCAAAGAAGTTGAAAAGCCCGTCTCCAAGGTAACCCTGATAACATCCCTTTTTCTACTGAGAACCACTGAGAGGCTACAGAAATTAACAGTATGAAAAAATGCAGATAAATCTTTAAGATTACTAAGGGACATCATTCACGCTCTTACAAATTCACATAAGAAACGGTATGAAAAGTCTTACCTAAAACTTCCTCATAATCAACCAGCTCGAACCAGACGACAGCCACCGATGTCCAGACGCCCAGCAGCGCAATGACCATAAACCACGTGAAGAATGAGCTCCCGGAGAGCGCTCCTTTCCTTCCATTCTTCTGTCCCCCGTGCTTCGTGTCTGGTTAAGAAAACGATGCGCAACGTCGTTATACAGGAAAACACCTTCTCCAGCACTGCTTCCCACCGAGCGACTTCTCCAGGAATTGGGTAGTACTCACAATGGGAAGTCATTTCAAAACTAGTTTTCACTTCAATTCTCTAGCCATGTTCCATTTGAAAATGAAAGATGCTGCTTAGACTCAACACCACGTAGGTAAAACCTTAACTTTTAAGTAATGAAAGAAATAAACTACTGACGGGCCAATAATTTCTTAAAATTAAAGGGTGATATAATATGTATATTCCTTCTAAGTTCTTTCTCCAAACTACCTCAATATTACCCCCTTCAAAGTTCAGAGCATCATCGACAATTTAATATCATACAGAAATGTAGCCAAATAAACCCTTTTCTCTGTCCCATTTAGTTTCTGTAGAATCTTAAGAACTCTAACTGCCACAGAGAATACGTCCCCCCAAAACCACTCGATACTGTTAGCCAAGGAGGGACAGAGGCAGGCAGGAAACAACGGCTGGGACTAGAGACCAGGGAAGAAGAGAAGGAAACAGGACAATTCAGTCCTCTCCCTTTGCTGGGACCTACAGAACGGAAGACGCTCATTCACAGCTGGTCTCAATGCAGGAAACAGTTTTGTAAACTGCCTTTCCTCAAAAGTGTCATTTATCACATTTGACATGTTTAATATACCTTTTATCCTTCTGGAAATAGTGTTCTTACAGCCAAAAATAAACAAAAATGGTGAAAGTCAAGTGATATTAATAGAAAATGATCAACACTGTCCTTAAAAGGGAAGACCATAATATTCAACTTTCTCTTTAAAAAGAACAATAAGTTTTATGTAAAAGTTAATTATTAAATTAAAAGGATAAGTTGTATCAAAGGCAAAGTTCATCGACCAGGTAGAAAGCAGGCCACCGTCTTCCACATGCTTCCACATGCGTGGTGCATGGGACTCTCACCACGGCCTTGCCAGTGTCTCTCTAGAGGGCATTTCTGGGTGTTTACACAGGACAATTCTTCATCCTGCGGGGCTGCTTCTCGCTCTGCAGAGCAGCTGGCATTCCTGGTGTCTGCTGGTCCAAAGGTATGTAGCTCCCAGTGATTATAACAAAAACACGCCCAAACATTACCAACTGTCCCCTACAAGGGTAGTGCCTGGTTGAGAAGCTCTAAGGATAGGACAGGAAGAATCATCTCTGTTTTATAGAGAAAAGATTAAATGATTCACCTAAAATCACAAGCACAAGTTAGGCAGAGCCAGGAATAAGCCCTGACCACTGGTCCCGAGTTCCCCGATCCATGCATGAGTGGGCCACGTTACAAGATTTCCAAAAACCTGACGAGCTCCAATCTAGAACCTGCCTCCTGGCACCTAAATCCAGTTCTAATTACAAAATACTGGTAGTAAATTTCCCAGTGGCTCAAATCAAGAATCTGCTGCTGCCCAGCCTCTGTGGTTAAGTGGTTGAGCATCGACCCATGCACCAAGAGGTCACCGGTTGAATTCCCAGTCAGGGCACATGCCCAGGTTGTGGGCCAAATCCCCAGTGAGGGGCATACATGAGGCGGCAATCAATGTTCTCTCTCATCGATGTTTCTATCTCTCTCTCGCTCTCCCTTCTTCTCTCTCTAAAATCAATAAAGAAAAAAAAAATTTAAAAAGAACCTGCTGCCAATTCTATTTTATAAAAGAGTAAACTGAAATTCTTCCTGTTTAAAAGATATACACATTTTTTTTATCCTCACCCGAGGACATTTTTTCCATTTTTTGTTCAGATAGAGTGGGAGGGAGAGGAAGAGAGAGTGAGAAACATCGATGTGAAAGGGACACATCTAGTGGCTGCCACTCGCACGACCAACCAGGGCCAGGGACAAACTGCAACCGAGGTACGTGCCCTTAGTGGGAACCAACCCCAGGTCTCTCTGGACCACAGGCCGATGCTCTAACCACTGAACAAAACTGGCCAGGGCGATATACACATTTTTTAAACCAACCACTAGATCAACTTTTCAAAAGGTGCCGTAAAAACAAACCAATCTGAGAGAAAGTATATGTGTGTGCATACACACTCAAACGTATACATCTTTATCTAACTCAAGTATATAAAGTTATGACCAAATAAGATAAATTTCATTCCTAAAGAAAAAATCAGTTTCCTTTTCTAATGTTGTTTAAATATTAACAGATCCATCAAAAAGGGCCAAATACATAAATAATCATATGGTGAACTCACAAAAGTATACTTACCAAAACATATGGCCAGCTAATTTCTTTCTAACATGATCTATTAAAAGCCTCTAAAAGCTGGTTATATAAAAGCATAATTTATACATGAAAAAATAATTGCTGGGCAGATTAGAAAGTTGCACATTAAATCCACTTAAAACAGGCTTCGCTGTTTCATTACCTGAACATCATCCTGGGGGGGGGGGGTGTGAAGATTTCTACAATATTGGTGAGGGGAAATAATAATTGTTTGATATTTTTATGTGTCTTAAGCATAGAAAGGATAAGACCAATATAAAATAAAGCACCACTCAATTTTTTAAAAGGAAAAGGCGAGAAGCTTCTGTAGGGACAGAGGAGCGCCACAAATACAGTAGCAGTGCTGTGTGTTTAATTGATTAAATGTCTATATACATGAAGACTTTAATGCCATATAAAAACCCTTACTTCTATAACATATACGCATACATACGCATTTGTACAGAATACGTACTATAATAAGAATGTCTTCCAGAATATTTATTTGCCCCCAAATAAGGAACTACAACAGACTGTGTAATAGAATTATAATGACTAAGAATGTTCTTCCCTTGATTACTTATTGCCTCTAAGAATGAAATTTAAATTTTCCATTTAAAATGAGTCTTAAGTTCAGCTGTAAGAGTGTCGGCCCTCAGACCAAAGGGTCTCAGGTTTGATTCCTGGTCAGAGGCACGTACCTGGGTTGCAGGTTCAATCCCTGACTCTGATCAGGGTCATGCAGGAGGCAACCGATCCTATGTCTCTCTCACATCTATGTCTCTGTCTCTGTCTCTCTCTTTCTCTCTCTCTCTCTCTCTCTCTCTCTGCCTCCCTCCTTTCCACTCTATCTAAAAGTCAATGGAAAAGTATCCTTGGGTGAGCATTAACAAAATAACAAAATAAATAAATTAATAAAATGAGTGCTAAAATTGCAGGAAAACTGGTTCTTATCTTATTTCCTCTTGGACATTTTGTAATTGACAGCAGTGTGTTGTATTGTTTCTAATTAACTAGAAAATAATAAGGCTAAATAAATATAGTTCATCCTTTTATTCATTCATTTAACATATTTATTCAGCATATGTGTTAGACATGACACAATTTTTACTCAATAATTAAGTTTTCAAAATGTGTACCTAGATAAAAGTACACTCAATATGATGCTATTTACAGAGAGGAAGGACATGGGGGGATGGGTAAAAAAGGTGAAGAGAAATAAAAGGTACAACTTCCAGTTATAAAATAAGGGTAAGTTACAAGGATGCAATGTACAGCATAAAGAATATAGTCAATAGTATAATAACTTTGTACAGTGACAGATGGTTACTAGATTTATTGCAGTGATCACTTTGTAAGCTGTATAAATGTTGAATAACCACGTCATACTCCTGAAACTCAGATAGTATTGTATGTTTAGTATACTTTAATAAAAAATTTTTAACAAATGTATTTTTAAAAAGATACCATCCTCAAAAAGTAAGAAAAGCTATCATTTAAAATAAGCTTATAATGAAGTAGCTAATAAAACAAAATGATCATTTGATTTCAAAGTTCAATTCTTTCACCATTTCTATCTCTTTCTTGAGGCAGAAATGGAGGAGGAAAGTTTCTGAGATCCTCCAAAGGAAGTATCATTTATCCAAGTTGACTCAGTAATCCTCATCGAAGTGTTTGAGACTTACAACACCAAATACAGGTGAAAAGCGGAAAAAGGTTTTGAACAATAATTACATAAATGAATGCACCAAAACAGAGAAGGCATTGGGAGGGGGAGGACTGAGGAAGCCAACGCCTTAGAGAACAGGTAAGGTCTATTTACATTTGTTTTAAACATGATCCTAACAACTTCAACCAAGTGTCCTAACTCACAGCACAAAACTAAAGAAGATTTTAAAGACAATGTGACCCAAATGAGTTAAAGCAACAAAGGTGCGGTGGAGGGAGGCCGCCCTCGGAAAAGGCGGATTCCAGCAGCTGCCTGGACGGGATGTGGAGCAACAGTGGCAGGAGGCCTGTGTGATTGATGCTCTCAGGCAAACCTTGAACAGTCTTAAAATAGTCTTTCGTACAAGGTAATAATGACCTTCATATTGATTTTGTTATTAAAGCATTTTAAACTGTTGAAGAATGCAAGAAATGTATAATAAATCTCAGATTTTCATTCAATATATTCTATTAAACAGATTTATCACTTTAAAAGATTTAATGTTGCTTAGAATCGGAAATTATTAGCAACATTTTATCCATCCCTTTATAATGCCAAATAAGTGAGGTTTTACTCTAGTATTATTAATCTTATTACTGTTAATATTAATTCCATAAAGGAGCAAAACAGTAAATTATAGAAAGAAATCTTTCCTAAGATATCTTTTTGAGGGGACCTTTAATTGATACCAAATAACACACTCTTGTTAAGTCACTTTGTAAATGTGGTATGCATAGTCCCAAATGGCATATCAGTTTCTTCCCAATTAAACTGGAAAAAGCATAGTAAGATAAACCCTTCAAGAGGGTTTAAAACTCCCTAAGCAAACCTGAAACCAGACTTTGGTCCAAAGGTATTCTAGAACACTGAGTAGCTGTCCCTATTTTCTAAAATCAGAATAAATGTAAGGGTCATTTCATTTTCTGGCTCCGCATTCAACCTGTGCTCTCAGAGATTAGTAAAAAATAAATAAATAAGTAATGGGGCTTAAGAATATGGCAAGGACTATGTGATTCATTTTTTTCAAAAGTGCATGACCTCCAAATC